TCTCTTTCTCTTTCTCTATCATTGTAAAAGCCACGTATGTATCGCACTGTCACAGTTATATTTCATCGTGCGATAACGTGTCTTTCGATATGCGTGTAAAATGAGCAGTGGATTTGACCATTCAATTTACTATAAAAATTCCCTGCACACCGGAACTTAACATATATTAAAATTCTTTTCCGATCAGCCGATTCCCGTGTTTCATCATTACAATAACTATGAGGGAATTTCGATAGCGTTTTAATGCAATTTTAATATCAGAGAAATTATGAATCGAATATGTGGGTGGAAAAAAAAAGAAGTTGAAAACGATGAATTAAACGAAGGATTGATGATGTGAGGTGTGGATTCACTCCACTGAGATACTATGAAAAGATTAAAAATATCGACGAGTAATTATCGGTCACTGATCTGTCAAGTATTCGTTTACACGTCAGTGAGATGATTTGAAATACATTGAACCGATTTCATCCTTTTTTTTTCCTGTGCCTGAGGTTGATGACAGTTTTAGATAGTGAGGATGACATTCTCCACGTACCGTCACATTCCTTCTTACCAGCCTTATTAGTCACATGCACGTGTATGTCTCGTGCATTTATCTTTTTTCAACCTTTGCATGGGATTTTAAGTTTGCATTACGATATAAGAAACAATTAATGCAGTCGATCGTTAAATTTGTCGAGAAAGTTCTAGAAGAGGTCGTATTTTGAACGGTTGCGAGAGGGCGTAACGGTGAACGGTAAGGCTGCATTTTCTGTGAGAGTGAGCGACTTCGCGGGATCCTTTATCCCTCTGTTTTTTTAGTGAGTGAGGGTCAGAGGTCACCACTGCAGAACTTTGTTTCTACCTATTCTATATTTGCCTCTCAAATTCTTCGAATACAACTCTCAAAAAATGGATGTCTATGAGAATTCCAAATGTAGCTATTACGCTTGCATCATATTTCCTTTTTTTCTATTTTAGTGAGTACAACCAACTCCAACTACACTTATTTACAGCCAGATTTTATCAGCCAAGAATGATGTGTTTAAATGCATTGTATTAGGAAAGAGGGGAAGTGCAGTGAGAGGGGCGTGTGTGCATATGTGTGAGTGTGCGTGCGTGCGTGCGTGTGTGTGTGTGTGACATCCGGTGGACAGCTGAGCTTGAATGAGGTATAGCAGCTATATTGAAATGGTGCAAAGTAGTTATCGAATATGACTTGTGTCGTGGATTCTTCATATCTTTCCGGAGCCCACTGCCTTAACATGTCACTAAGATTAAGCAAAATCAGTATTAGTAAAAGACCAAGTTGAGTGGACAGTTCCAACACTTACTCTCAGTGTTTGTTTTACATGATTCAGCATAAGTCATTGATTGAAGTTAAATCGTGCAATGATTCCTTATGTTTTTGTTGATAATAAATGTGCATTCTTCATGATCCAAGCGGAGAAGGAAGAGGATTAAAGAGGTTGATATGTGTGCTGATCTCATGTTTTATGGTTTATTTGTTTATTATTTAAATATTTCTTGTTGGTTTATTGTGTTTTATTTTTTTAAGAGCTTTACTCCATTTTGCGTGGCACTAGTTCCGGATAAGAACGGTACTTTGAATAATGGCATCCATCCCAACGTAAGTTATCATTTTTATGCAGACAAATGATCAGAATATGTAATTGAAATTGATAAGCTAAGAAGGCATTACCGTTTTGTTGTATCTTTCTGATATATGCATTTGACAGAAGTAACGAATTGTGGATTCCAGAGCAGTTGATGACAAAACAAAAAAGAATGAGGAGTTAGCAACAGCTATCTTAAAGGATAAGGTGAAGCCAAACCGGCTGATTGTTGATCAATCGATTAATGATGACAATTCTGTGGTTTCTCTCTCACAGGTATAAACTTGAATTTGATCTTAATTGGAGTCATAATCAAGGTTTAAAATGCGTGATGCAGTACTATATCTCCTGTATTAATTGTTTTGTCGGAATGGCTGTGTAATAGTTACTACAGTGCTGCTTGTTAGAGTTCTTAAGTTTTGTTGCAGTGAAGCAATTAATATTCCAGGCAAAGATGGATGAATTAAATTTATTTCGTGGTGATACAGTTATTTTGAGAGGAAAAAAGCGCAAAGAGACAGTATGCATTGTGTTGTCGGATGACACTTGTCCAAATGACAAAATACGCATGAATAGAGTTGTTCGAAATAATTTACGCGTACGTTTGGGTGATGTTGTAAGGTTCGTTTGTTTCGAATAATGCTTTTCGAATATTATCTAATTCATTGAGATTGCAGCTCAGAGCAGTGTATTTTTGATTATTTGAGCTTGTAAAGCGGACTTGTGATGAAAGTGGCAATTCTATTTTTCTAATGTTCCTGCTGCTTAAACTGCAGGATTGCATGTCAGCACGCAGCAAAATATTGTCAGCAATTTAAACTTTATGTACTATGTCCTTTTTCTAACTTTCATATCGTAATGGAATGCTGAAATTAAATCTCAATGTTTTTTATTTCATGTCAAAAATTCCTATTATAGTATTACCGCTGCTCCAAACATCAGTTATGGAAAACGTGTTCATGTTCTTCCTATCGATGATACCGTTGTGGGTCTCACGGGGTGAGCCTTTTTTTGCGCATGAAGAATATCCTGAATAATCGTTTTTAGAGCAGTGATGAATCGTGCAGGGGTCCTGAAACTGGCAGAGGTGTGTGCCAGTGTTGCAGCTGTGAAATTTGCACCGGGCAGATTTCTAGCATGCACAGAAAAAAGCACCACTGAGCTCTATCACAAATATGAATTAAAAATTTAAATTTTGACTTTCCCAATAATGTTTAATCTGTTCATTAAGCAGGTTTGAGTATTGCATGTTTACTATGATTGTACAGTACAAGTGTCTTCGAATCATAACCACTTTTTTCAGTAATTTATTTGAAGTGTTTCTAAAGCCTTATTTTGTGGAATCATATCGACCACTTCACAAAGGAGATCTTTTTTCTGTCAATGCAGCTATGCGTAATGTTGAATTCAAGGTGAATTCTCAGATCTTTTTTTTTCTCTCGAAAGAGAAAGAGATAGGTGTTTATAATGATAAAATAATTTATTTTGAGAAATTTTGTGGCTGCTATTTCAGATTTAGCTTGAAGTTGTTCAGCTAAAGATCTGATCAAGCGAACGAATTCTTTCATTTACGGACTCTTTCATAGAAGCATATAATTCACATGCTAGGTATGATTGTTGTTAAGGTTGTTGAAACTGATCCCTCGCCATCATGCATCGTTGCGCCAGATACAGTCATTCACTGTGAAGGTGAACCAATTAAACGTGAAGAAGAGGAGGAAAATATGGCCGATGTCGGTTACGATGATATTGGTGGCGTGCGTAAGCAACTTGCCCAAATCAAGGAAATGGTCGAACTTCCACTGAGACATCCTCAGCTCTTCAAAGCTATTGGTATCAAGGTATGTTTTATTTTCGGGAAGCGTTCGCTGTTTTGCCTTTCTGTTCTTTTTAGATTATTGGTGAAGAGAAAAACAAATAATAGATCTGAGAAATTCCGAGGACATAGAAAGAAGACAATTTGGAATTTTTACTGTTGTCCCAATATTTTATTGATGTTATCAGTAAAGGATGTGTGAATATTGATTGATTTGAATATTTATATAAATGTTGACTGGTTTGCTTTTTTCTTTTAGGTAGTTTGAAATCATTACTTGACATTATTTTAGCCACCAAGAGGCATTTTGTTATACGGACCACCAGGCACTGGCAAAACACTAATAGCTCGAGCCGTTGCGAATGAAACTGGAGCGTTCTTTTTTTTGCTGAATGGTAAATGCTCACTTTTGTAACTGTTGTTGTTTCACAGACTGAAGTATGTGAATTTAGGGTGCCTGTGGATTTAATTGTGTTTTCAGGACCTGAAATTATGAGTAAATTAGCTGGTGAATCAGAATCCAATTTACGTAAAGCATTCGAAGAATGCGAAAAAAATTCACCTGCGATTCTGTTTATTGATGAATTGGATGCAATTGCACCGAAGCGGGAAAAGGTTATCTTTCCTAGCGTAGGGACTGTCTGGTAACCAATCCATAGAAATGACGGGTTTGAATCATGTACGTCTATATAGTACTGTAATAGCATTGATTTTTGGTGTACCTTATTAATTTTAATTAAGAAATAATACTATTTCCTTCATTAACGACTTTTCACTTTTGAAATGCTTCAGTTGATTTATTTAGACGCATGGAGAAGTTGAACGTCGTATCGTATCGCAATTATTAACTCTTATGGATGGCTTGAAACAGCGCAGTCATGTCGTTGTTATGGCGGCAACAAATCGTCCAAACTCCATTGATCCTGCATTGCGACGTTTTGGTCGTTTTGATCGTGAAATCGATATCGGAATTCCAGATGCTATTGGAAGATTAGAAATTCTTCGCATACATACAAAAAATATGCGTCTTGGTGATGATGTTGACTTGGAACAGGTTATTTCTTGACTCCTAATGTCAGATTTTTGAGAGACAATATTTTAAAAAGTGGTTGAACTGGACAGTTGGATTTTTGCGAAGCTTTTTTTCATGAAGTACCGAGGTATAAGAAGGCATGATTTGTGATTTAGCGTAACAGTGCTGATGCAACCCTCGGAGAGAAGCTAAATTTTGCGCTGTGAACAGAGCAATTATTTATATATAGGTAATTGGTCTACTTATCAGCGCGTACAGTTTGTATTTGGTATCGCTTTTTGGCTTTTTACACTTTGGTTTTAGAAATCTACAATTAATCTTATACATAGAAATCTAACAGTATTGGATGTTTCTTGAAAGACTTCAAGTACAACAGTTTTTAATCCAAGATGCAATTGTATCAATAAAACTATAAAAAAATTTAAGGTTGCAAATGAATGCCATGGTTACGTAGGTGCAGATTTGGCATCTCTCTGCTCTGAAGCAGCTCTGCAGCAGATTCGTGAAAAAATGGAACTGATTGATTTGGAAGATGATACAATCGATGCTGAAGTTCTTAATTCACTAGCCGTTACTATGGAAAATTTCCGAGTCTGTTTTATTTTTCATTTAATTTACTCATTAGTTTTTGCTTGAATGAGATATACTTATCCGCCGCTTTTACAACGTTTCTTTGATGCTTATGACTTAGTTACGTTTCAACTGTCCTGTCCAATATTTCCAACTATTTCCTTAATCTTTATGCAGGTTTATATTTATTCACGGTGTTTAACACTGTGAATAGATAAAGCCTAGCATATCAGAAAAAATTAAAAACGTAACAATTAGAAAAGAACAAGAAAGATGTTATCACGCATAGATTTATTGACACATAAAACTTTAATTTTTTAGTTTGCAATGGGTAAAAGCAGCCCATCAGCTCTTCGAGAGACCACTGTTGAAATACCTAATATTACTTGGAACGACATTGGTGGTCTACAGAATGTCAAATGCGAACTGCAGGAACTTGTTCAGGTTAGAAAAACTCACATTGTGAGATAAAATTTTCAACTAAAGTTTACGAAAATGGATAGAAAAGAGATTGCAATAACAGGGTAATGTGGAAAAAATAATTTTTATCTTATGTTGTGATCAGAAGTGTGGTTCTTTTTATTCTTAAAAATACTGAGAAATTGGATTAACAAAAGGTCTTCATCAAGAAAACAACATATTTGTGTTTAGGAAAGTCTCTGTAGTACGATATTTGTGTTTCAAAAACTCCTGTAAACTTATAATTAGCTAATTACGTTTTCAGTATCCAGTAGAACATCCAGACAAATATCTCAAATTTGGCATGCAGCCATCTCGTGGGGTGTTGTTCTATGGCCCCCCTGGTTGCGGTAAAACACTTCTTGCTAAAGCAATCGCACACGAGTGTCAAGCTAACTTCATTTCAATCAAAGGTCCCGAGCTCCTTACTATGTGGTTTGGTGAGTCTGAGGCAAATGTACGGGATGTTTTCGATAAGGCAAGTTCTTCGTTCAGTGTTGGTTATGTTTCGTATTTCGTGAGAAACAGTTTACTATCAACATGGGAATTCTGATTTGTTGTAATTAAGCTTTATAAGAAAAATTTGAAATATAACTTACAGGCTCGAGCTGCCGCACCTTGTGTTCTTTTCTTCGATGAGTTGGATTCGGTTGCCAAAGCTCGAGGTGGTAACATTGGCGATGCAGGTGGCGCTGCTGATCGTGTGATTAATCAGATTTTGACCGAGATGGATGGAATGTCAAACAAGAAAAATGTTTTCATCATTGGAGCAACGAATCGGTTTGTTTAGTCAGCTGTTTATCGTTTACTGTCTGTTCCAAAAGGCAAGCATTAGTACTTCTAGATTAAATCCTTAATCCTGTTGTGATTTGTATTCTCTGCTTTTTATTAGGCCTGACATTATCGATTCGGCTATTCTTCGTCCAGGGCGTCTTGATCAGTTAATCTATATACCTCTTCCTGATGAGGCTAGCCGTTTACAGATCTTCAAAGCGAATCTTCGCAAAACGCCAATTGCAACGGTTAGTTTGTGTTTATCTTGATTAAGTGTATGAATAAAAGATGCTTGAAAAATCTAATTCTTGATAGGTAATTAAATTAAGGATGTGGATTTGACATACCTGGCTAAGACAACAGTTGGTTTCTCAGGCGCTGATTTAACAGAAATTTGCCAGCGCGCATGTAAACTAGCAATTCGTGAAAGTATTGAAAAGGAAATTCGTCATGAGAAAGAGAAGCAAGAGCGCCGTTCTCGTGGTGAAGAGCTTATGGATGATGATGCTTATGATCCAGTACCAGAAATTACTCGTGCACATTTCGAAGAGGTTCATTTTGATATAGAGATAAAATAACAAGTCGGAAACATTGGCTGCTTATATATAGTTTCCATTTATCATCTAACTTTTTATTCTTTCCTTAATGTATTGTTATGTCTTGCATTTAAATGGTGTAGGCGGGTCACTTTTGATATTTGGTTCTTTATGCATTTTTCGGTAATAGAATAAATTCTTTTATAATTATGTTACTAAAGGTGGTGTGTTGAAGTTGTAGTATTTTTTGATTTGATATATAACTTCACGTACATTTTAATTCATATTTTTTTCTTCAGGCGATGAAATTCGCTCGTCGTTCGGTTTCGGACAATGATATACGTAAATATGAAATGTTTGCACAGACGCTGCAACAGCAACGAGGCTTTGGAACTAATTTCAAGTACTGTATTTTTTTTTCGAAAAATTTATTTAACCAGAAGTTTATTATCCACGACTTAATAATTAGTACATATTGTAGCGTTCACCAAATGATTATATAGTTGTGATTTTTTAAGTTCTAAAATAAATTTCATTTTTTGTAGGTTCCCAAATCAAACAGGGGCATCCTCAAATCCGGGACAGCCTGCAATGCCACCAGGAGCTGGAAACGATGATGATGATTTGTACAGCTAGAATGGCGAGAGTGAATCTTTATTCTTCTGTACTCATTTCCGTTAATTATAGCAGACTTCTAATGTTTATGGAAATTTTCCGAATCAGTTTATCCTATCCGAAATTGTTTTGTTTGCATATTTAAAAAATTGAGTTACTCGAAAATGTAGTTCCTTTTCCTAATTTGTTAAACCATAGGCACCTGTTTTTCTGTTATTCGAAAACTATATATGGATTTGTTTCGAAATGGATGAAGACTTCTGGCATGATTTAAATTCTTTTCATAAATGCTTTGTAGCCAGCATTATGAAATTTTAAGGATCAACTGCAAATTCTTTTGATTAATTAATTGAATTCACTAATTTTTTCAGGGTTCCCTGATTATCATGTATGTTTTGTTCTACATCTATAAGTGGCAATTGTCATAAAATCTGATCTTTTTGTTTATGATTCTGCTTTGCATACATATGGAGATTTATGAGGAAATGATGGAAAAGCATTAATTCAAGACAGCAAAGATATTACTAACTAAACCGTTGAGGAGTAGGTGACAACAGTAATTCAGTGAACAACAGGGAAAGATTATAGCGAATATTTTCAAAGGGCTTGGAGAGAGCTAGTAGTGGTGATGCTTGTTGTAGGTTAGATTGGACTGGATAACTTATAAAGTTATCAGTATATATATATATATATATATGTATAAGCGCTAACTTACAAATTCCTCAATACCATTTATGTATAAGAATGCAAGCAATGGAATTCAAGACTTCAATCCAAAACATGCAAGTAAGTAGCATTGTTAATGGTTGCATTTAACCATTTGCCTGCTGAGGTTCTCAATTTTTCCAGATATTTAGCATTCCGCAGATTCAAAGACCATTAAAAATCCTGAAATCCGGATGCATGTTACCTCTTTCCTTTTTTGAATTCGGGGGCGGCTTCAGTCTATTCTTTTTTTTATAAGTGCTTAAAAAATTGCCCTAGTTTTCCAGTTCTATGAGATAATAAACTTATCATTGTTAGGAAATTTGAGATGTTTGGAATTTTCATGTCCTGTAAAAAACCTATTAACGTTGATAAAATGCTACGGGTGCATTTCATTTGATAAATTTGTTTTATTTATTGAAAATACTGCACCCAAGATGATTATTATTTCTGATGTTCTGATTTGTCAACTAAATTTACATTATTTGAAGTCTGTGGATAATAGGCCAATTTTGCTTCAGAGCCGTATTCTCACTTATAATCTTTCAACTCAGACTGAGGATAAAAAAATATCTTTAAAGCAGCCAGGAAAAATTAAGGTAGAAGAAGGCTTATATTAATAATTTCGTAAAAGCTGACAAAAAAATATTCAAACTTGATATTGCCATTTATGGTTGGGAGTATTTAAAATGATGCTATTTAAAATAAGAAATAAAGTTGAATAGTAAAACCTTTCATGCCTTTATTCTGTAGCTTCCGAAATTCGCTAAAATTCTGAATTTTTAAAAACTTTACTATTAGACATTCATTGTAACATCGAATACTTTTTTCTTTTCTTTTAAGTGTTTTCCATTAAATATTTTGTGAAATAAAATAGGCCATTCTATTCGATGCAAATTTACTGTAAAGTTTCAAATATTTGAATTTGATATATTTCTTCAGTTGCAAATGTTTGTTTCATTTTTGAGAAATTAATTAATATTGTCAAATTTGCTAACCATTCAGCGAATAGTTTAAGTACCTCGTACAGTGCATCTCATTTGATTTATATTGCAAAGTCGTACAAATACCTTATTAAAACCGAAAGATGAGAATGCTATGGAAGAAAAAGATTGTAGGAGAAAGAGATGATGAAATTGTTAGGAAGAAAATGGAATTTCAAGGCGACGGACAGTTAATTCATTAGGAATGCTCTATGATATCGAAAAAGAAACAGAGAGAAGAAAGGAACGATGTGAAATCAATGAATTTTCATTGGTTGTAATCGATACGAGATATTCAGATGGTCATGGTCACTTGTAATAAAATGGTAGTGATAGTATCAAGTCAATATCAGTGGTAGATTTTGTGAATGCTTTTCTGCATTATTCAATTATTCGCTAATGTGAAACAATTATTTATGATCATTTGGTCATTATGATAGAATTCTTTCGAACAATTATTATATTTAGAAAAATCTAAAATTGTAG